ATATATATATATATATATATATATAAAAGCTGAATTAAACAGTGAACTTAGTTGCATCTCAAGGGGTCTTCAGAATAGAAAAGACCAAAACTGGTGAGTAATTGGAAATGAGGACACAGGAAGAAAATATCAAAAAGGAAGGTGTCAAGGATGATTAAGGTTACATTAGAAACCAGTATGCTGCATAATAATTTCCAAGTTTCCTAGAAAAATGACAGTTATTACCACAGTTGCTACCTATCCTTCTCCATCCCGCACAACCCCCACATTGTACCTCTGATTGTCACACTCCTAAAAACAGAAAAGGAGTTTATTTGTTGGCAAGCCACTACCTTCTCTTTCTCTGATCCTTGTTCTCAGGGAGGGATACTCTGGTAAATCAGGGGACCCTTTCTTCAGGGCTGACTTAGCTGGTGTGGATGTAATTTCAGTGAGTTTTCCTGTCTATGTGTTGACAGTGCTGATTCTTGCCAAAGTTCTTATCTAAAAAAGGATGGTTTGGGGCTCAGAGCAGTATCAGAATAGGAAGGACATCCCAGTTCTGCAGTCCTTTCATCACTCTATATCCAGAGTCTGGAGTATGCCTGGCATATAATATGTTCGATAAAATATTGTAGAATAAATGAATTCACTACACATTGTAAGCAAAGTACACATTTAAAACTAATCATAATCAGTACTACTCCTTTCAAGATAAAACCATCTTGTGCTGGGGCCAGCAGTGGGTGTTGGTGGTTAAGGCCCTAGATCCCACATGGCTGACTCTGTGGCTCAAGTCTTGGACATGGCAGTTTGAAAGCCATGCTGGGCACATATATGTACGTGTACGAAATCTCAAAAGGAGAAAGAATTGTGGTGTAGCCATTCCCCCGGGGGTGATTTCTCACTTTCCCTCTGTCTCTCTCTGGCAAGTGCATATGCCCTGGGCAACAATCTAAAAACAAACAAACAAAACAAAACAAACACTTAGTCTGGTCCCACAGCCTACTGGTTAAGGGAGCCAGATCCCACATGGCTGACCGTGGTTTGAATCCTGGCCTTGGTGGTCTGAAAAATCTGTGTGTGTGTGTGTGTGTGTGTGTGTCCAACATCCATACAGGCTGGAGAAATGGAAAAGGAGCTGTGGCATGGCCTTGCCCCACTGGGCTGTACTTTCTCTTGGCAAGCACATGCACCTCTGGCAATTGAGAAACAAGATAAAATAATTTTATGTTAATCATGATACCATTTTTCCTTTTGCCTGGCAATTTTAAAAAGATAAGGTCATTTCTACACTAGTCTTGATAATATTTTCCTTTTGTTCTTTGTTATTCAGTAAAGATGTTTTTCAAATAACAGCTTGTTTTAGCTTTACAAGGACAAACCAAAGGAGTCTGGGCCTATACTGGACAAAGTCATCCCGTGCTGGGGCCAGCAGGTTGTGTGGTGGTTAAGGCACTAGACCTGGC